GGTGTTATGTTCCTAAAGGCGAACCTATTCGGAGGGTAATGATATTTTAAATTTTGATCGATAAACTAGTTCAATAGTTTATCGACTTACTTGCTAACATATTTTTCTATTTTATCCGCGTTCAGGGCCGTAACTTTGTTACAGTTTCTTAATATTTGTCTAAGTTGAACTTCACTTTGTTCATCGTAAGGAATATTAAACCTAATTAGATATTCAAATAGCACAGCACGCCTACCTCTCCAAATCCACGTAGTATGAGACGACTCCATCACCCTTCTTTCTTAGAACTTAACCCCGGAAATGCAACAGAAAATGCACAATGCACTTAACAGGCAGTACGAAATGTACCCGGAGAATACACAGTAAAAGGATGCTTCAGAAGAAATTTCCAACCACGCGTCTATGCGTTTCTGAACAACAACGAGAAATGTAAGTGCATTACTATGCACTACTGAAGAAAAAGTTGCCTTACTAGTTTTTTAGTGTCTGGTCGACATTACCCCAATAATAGTGATGTGTTCGGTGACCTCTTGTGTTGAAAATTGACTCGCGAACAAGTATTGATAGGGTCAGTGCATCGTAAAGATTCCATTTATTAAAGAACATAAAGATATATTTAAAATGAAAGTATTTTCCTTACCATTTTCCTTACCTTTTTTTATCATCATAGATGTTTAAAGACTACTGCTATATTTTTTTTAGCATACTCCAAAATCTTAGGAACGTAAAATGATGGAAATTTACCCAACAACTTATCTGCTACCGAAGGGTACATATTTGAAAATTCTAATTCAATCTATATAAAGATAAAATTTATAATTACTTTAAAGTGTTCGACATTTTCTTTTTGAGATAGAAGAATTTACTGAAAATTGCAATCAATGTTTCAATTCTTGTTCGTGCACTTATTGTTGCTCAATAAAAATTTATTTTATAATATAGAAATATAATTTCGTAAAAATTATGTATTGTTCATATGAAAGACAAAATTATTAGGATTTTTACTGAACGACAGTAAAAACATGAACAAGAACTAAAACATTGACTTACCATTTCTCCTTTGTAATCTTGCAATCGTGGATACATTTTTAAAATCTCCGTAATACTAGGATTATTGTGTTCAATCCATTGTCTTCTGTGTCTGTATGTCTCATTTAAATTTTCAATAATTATGTTCTTGTTATTTTGAGTCGAATTTTTAAATTTCAGCATAGATATCTATATATTTGATGTGATAAATGTAAATGCTTCTAAGTCTCTAAATTGTAAAACGGATGTTTCAGAATTCTATACCTTTTCTTCAATTTCATTATCCGAAAATTATATTTCATTATTCTTAGAAGCTGCTCGTTCAGGGCTATGAGCTGTGCCCTTTTTTCTACCTATTTTTTTTTCTTTCGAAGGACTTAATTTTTTAAGTCTTGGTCATCTAGACCTTTTGCTTTCAAATCTTTCAAAAGCTGTTCAACATTTAATGCACTGAAATCACTAGTTTTTCCGTTATTCATTATATATTTGTTTGAAACTATAAAATGAAACAAATAAGAAAAAATTCATATTGTTTGAGGTTATAATTGTAAATGCCAATGTTTACACATGTTAACGTTGAAAAATTACAACAATTTTACAATTTAATAAAGAAAAAATAACTTCAATGGTTATCTATAACTACTGTATTTATTATTAATTTTTTAAATATGAATAAATGAAAATTTACCAGATTCTGTATAACACGTTCAGTCACAAAAACCATATGATAATGATACGTTAGAAACAAGTACACAGAAATGAAATTAGTACGCACAATGGCATACCAGGTGGCGCCGAAGTAATCAACTGAAATAACAGTGAAATATTTTAAAATTCACTGAAATGTTAGTGAATTCTCCAGTGACTGAAACTTCCAGTGAACTTTTCACTGGTATACTTTTAGAGAGTATAGATTAAATAGACGTGAATTAGTTTATCATCGGTATGGTAATGCATTTACAAAGTCGATGAAGAGCTTGACTTTATTTTTTGATGACATGGAGGCGGATTAATCACCATGCAATATCATCAACATTATTATGCAGTGGTGGTAAATTCTTTATTTCCACATGTGTGTTCGTTTCCTAAACAAGCTTCCAACAACAGACAACATGATGCATCGTCATTGATGTCATGATGCAGTTCATTAAAGTCATATATATTTGGTAATTGGCGTTATGATCCGTGGAAAAAAAATCGCCGACAAAATAGCCTGGGCCAAAATATCTTTGAGACAGAAAATTCTTAAGACAAATTATCCTTGGATGAAATATCTTCATACAAAATATACTTACAACATAATATCTAGACTATGAAGTAAGTAAATACTGAACATATTTTTATCATTGCATTGAATAATATTAAAATATTTAAATTCAACGCGTGACATTTCAGCTATATTGCAGTGTCGTCATGGGATATTTTGTTAATATACAATTAGTCGATGTGATAATTACGCCATCATTCGGATTTTTTTTATACTACTACTAGTTTGTTCTTTAGTAGTAGCTTGTGTAGTGTATATTATATTATTCACTCTAAAACGCTCAATTACATCGTTTTTTGTTTGATCATTCGTTGTTTGATCTTTTCAGTATTATTAGTGTATTATATTTTCTATCTGAATTATTAGTTTATGTATTTATTGACACGATGCCATTAAAATTTATATTATCAGAAAAACAAAAGAAATTGTTACTTTATGACGGCTTTTTATACTCCAAAAAATCAGTTAACAAAACAAATATATCATGGCGTTGTGCTTCAAGATTTAATTGTAACGTTTTAATTCATACATATTCTGAACTAAAAACTGGTAATTATTCGGTGATTTATCATTATTTTTATTTTTTTTTATGAGTGATCCATATTTAATCGTTGTTTAGGAAACGAAGCACGAGCATGCCAGTGATATTGCTGCAGTTCAAATGAAGATGATAATTGCTCAAAAAGCACGAACAAATGATTCGAAATCAGCTACTATAATTACTCAAGCATTACGTGGTGTGCTATCACCTGTTTCGGCTTTGTTGCCTAATCTTTCATCCATAAGTCGAACAGTAAATCGTATCAGAGCTAAAGAAAACCCTCAACTCCCGGCTGTATCATCACGTTGTGAATTGGTATTATTAGAAGAATTTAAATATACTCACACTGAAGAACTATTTTTATTATATGATAATAGTGGTTCAAAGAGGCGATTTTTGATGTTCACAACGCATAAAAATCTGAATGTTTTAAGTAGATGTCAACAGTGGTTAGGTGATGGAACTTTTCGCGTTGTACCAAACAACTTTTCGCAACTATACACTATACATGGCTTCATGGGAGGTAGATCTGTCCCACTTGTGCATGTACTATTACCGAATAAATTGAAAAATACTTATATTCAAGTATTGTAAGTTTTGCGCCGATCTTTGCCTAATTTTTCGCCAAGTGTTATTATAGTAGATTTTGAAACGGCATTCATTAAAGCTTTTAAAGAAGTATACGCAGGAGTCCAAGTCTCCGACTGCAATTTTCACCTCAACCGATGTTATTGGCGTCGGATTTAGGCATGCGCAATACAAGCTCGTTATACCACATATGTTTTTTTCGCTTATAATTTACGTTTGCTACCCGAAAAAAAATAAATAGGCTCAAAAGAAGCCCAAAAACATTTTCTAGGCCCACAACACGCCCAATTCAAGCCCATTTTCTAAGATCATATTCGACAATGATGACAATAAATTATTACAAATGTAAATTTGTAGCACTAAAATTAATTTGATGATAAGTTTTTATGACAATTTTTTTTTCTTTTTCAGATTTTTAAAATATTTTGGGGCTTCAATTGAGCGCGTTTTAGGCATAGAAAATATTTTTGGGCTTGGATTCATCGAGGATATTTTTTCCGCGGGTCAAAAGTCATAGAACCATATATTTACTTTCTAAATCGTTAAGTAATGAATTTTTACATCAACAAAAGGTATATTACGTCATAGGTATTATTTTCATAAGTGGTTGTCTATCTTCTTCAAATTGACTCGGGATACATGAGAATCTAAAGTTCTATTCTTAAGGTCTATGAACGCCATTATGAAAGTGGCAATAGCGTTGGATTTTATTCATCATAATACTAGAATAAATTGTTAGAAAATTGGATCAATACCTCTCATTGTTAATGAGCTAATGACATTTTATTTATTTTAAACTCATTTCTTTACTGCATCAAGTTTAATGTCAATACTATTAAAGTCATATTCTATTATTTTATCAGTAAATTAATGTCTGTTTTGTGCTTCATACTTGTTGAAAATAAAACAGTAAAAATCACTGAGAATATTTATTGTTTAATTTGTAGAGTGTACATGATAGTTCAGTACTGTAGTTCTTGGTGTTAATGATTTTTTTTGTTAAACTTATTATAATTATTTTAAAAATTTAAACCTGAAAATAAATTATATTATACTCTCTACAAATTAAACAATAATGATAATTCAATTGACTTCAGAATAAGTAAACATTTATTTATTTTTCCAATGTCGTTTACTTCCTGACTAGAAACTTAATGCATTCAACGTTTTTTTTGTTTTGATTATGATCTTGACTTATATCATTTTATGCAATAAAACTTCAAATTTTTCAATAAAGTTTTATAAAAGTACTTTTAAATTGCGCAGAATAGGCAAGAAATTACTTTTTTTTCAACTTGAATTAAAAATAATTTTAGCAAAATAAAAAAATGCTGACTTTTTATTCATCTTTACGTTTTTTAAAGTCATTAATAATTTTTATTGATCAGTATTTATAACGATAAGATTGCTTACAAAAATAGAGTTGGAGCAAGTAATTTATAAATAATTTAATAATATCCTTCATTTAAATGAACTATTTAATTTAATTTGAAAAATTTAGTCAAATTAAAAAATGATGTAGTCGTGAATGTATAATTTTTAAAATTCTAATAAAACTATTCTTGTCTGTTACAGTTTTTTGACTTTGAGTGAATGCAACTTTCTTAGGAGAACTTAAAGGTAAATTCACATCGTTTATTTAAGAACAAAAAAGATACAATTAATAGCCAAACGATTATTATTATTAATTAGCTTTTCATAAATACAATTATGTTATAATTTATAATTCTGTCGTGAAAATTGAAAAACATCAACTCAACATTAAAAGCACAAAAAAGAAATTATAATTAAGTAAGATTGTCAATAATAGTCATATGGCTTACAACTATATATTATATCCTATTTTTTCTCATGGTCAAGAAAATGTCAATTTACTCTGATACAATTTTTTTCACAATCTTACTTAATATAATCCAACATCAGGAGCTGAAATGCTTCAAGAACTTAATATAAAATTTATTCTTTAATTCAATATAATAAATTCTTTAATAAATGTTTTAGAACAATATACGTTCATTAAATAAATAAAATAAATTTCATATAAATAAAAATCCTACATAACTTGGAGCTTTACCCTGTAGAAATAAAATAGCTGGATTTGCGAGAAGATGAATTACCTTTACAATAATTCATGATTACCAAGGCGGAGAGGTCATTAAAATAAATGATACAGCACGTGGTGTGTTGAGTGATCCGTTGTTCTTATAAAGATTCTAAGAATGACAAGCGTTAGAAGACCCTTATTATTTGTAGTCTAATGGTTTGTATCGCACCTATATACACAAAGTACCCATCTTTTTGATGCCACTCCTATAATATGCATGCATACGTAAATATAAAAATACCATCTGTCTCATCCTTTTTCCCAGTTAAACGACATCATTGAACGACCATCCCTTAGGTCCCCCGCGATTAACCCACCTCTTTGAACTCTTTATAAAAACATTTGAGACCTGTGGGTTTTAGGCGTGGGTGGACCAGACTCTCATTTATTATGCCAGCTAACAGACACTTGGAAACCCGTCTGAGATTTTCGGGTGGTCTACTGCCGCGCTTTTTGAATTCCTTAGAAAGCGGTAGAACTTCTTTTCCATTTTTCTTCGTGCTATTTATCGTTGATCCGACCTTATTAGAGCATCAGGAATCTCATGGTTATTGTATGAATATGTTGAAGAAGATCCATAAAATGCCAAATATTGCAATTCTTCTAGTTTTCGGTCACGTAAATTGATGAAAGAAATTTTTGGAAATATTTTAACATACTTTGAAATATTTGTTCAATATCATTCTGTGGATTAGAATGAAGCAAGTTGCTAGCAAATACATCTTGACTGATCAAATACATAACTGAATACTATGTAACTATTGTATTTGATGGACGTTGTAGGTACTCATTGCTTGTCTCGACTATTGGATGATGGCAAACTACCATCAAGACTCTATTCATGGTGGACCTTGTTATCGACCTCATACTCGGTTGCTCTGGCAACTCGTGCAGATAAAAGTCGTTGTAGTTCCTTCTTACTTTATCCTTTTTTTGTCCTAGGAATTGCGCTTCTAAATTGCAGGAGCACATTTGCGAGGGCCATTGACAAAAAAAAATATTAATCGTGATAGGATGAAAACTGGAGTTCAATTCAACAACTCCATTAAACAGGAAATAATAGAGAAAGTTCTCACTTCGACCCAACACTAGGCACATCCAATCAGCCATGTCTCATTGATGAAATAGGGTAGGACTCCTAAAGTATAACAATAGATTTTTGCAAAAATATTATAAAGCGTTCTGGAATTAGCTCTTAACATACAGGTTAAATTAATCAACGTTTGTATGAAAGTTTTTTTTTGTAATTTATTTTTTATAAAAAAGTTTTTTAAAACTCTAAAAAAATCCTCCACTTGGAGGTTTTTTTTTCACTTCAGTACCAGTCGTAACTTTAAAATAAGACTTATTGTATTTAAACAATGTTGAATTTATTTAATAAAATTGTAAATGGCTCCAAACAACACTTTGCTCAACTTTCTGTTTGAATTAAATCGTTTATCTTTAAATAAAAAATGATTTTTTACGTTAATTAAATAATTAATTACAATTACTTAACAAAATATTCGTTCCATGTTACTAACATTTTTTTCATTACACGTGCGGGATAACTGCTCGGTTACGGCACGAGTTTCCAGGCGGTAATTCACCGATTGACCACTCTAGGCCTACAGATAATAAAACACGGGAAATTTTAAATAACGCACGGATGTCTAACACCCTTTTCTTATTACGATATCGCATGTTGAACATCTGTTCAACACTTTTCAGGTGTCAAACTTGCTTCGCTCGTGTGTCTAACACTGCCACCATGGGCAATCGGCTAGTTACCGTCCTTGTTGTTTAAAATGCTGTTTTTTGTTCAATGAAAAGATTTAAATTGAAGCAAGAAAATTAAAAACCATGTATCTAATGGTACATTCAATTTATTTTCATTTATTCTGTTACAATGTCGAAATTATTCTATACGTCACCGATGTTTCTCTATTCTTCAATTGTGGGTATCCGTTCCGCCAGATTTTTTTACATGTATAATTCTCTAACTATTATTCTCTTTTTAGTCTTGCATATTATTCGATAAAAACAACTTGTCATTTTACTGCTGCCTATCTGAATATTTAACTGTACACTGTTTTACTACCAAAGTACTGTCATCACATGAGATGTTCACTGCACAAATCACTAAAACTTACTGCCTAAAAGCGTTTTGGCAAGCCTTCTCATACCGTCGTCCGTCAGTGGAGAGGATTTTGAGATGAAAATTCATTGGTGAAAATTAGCAAGAGTAGGGGCGGCAGGTAGAGTGGACCCAATCATTCAGGAGCCTCAAATTTACAATAGACAAATTTCGTCAATCGGCTTCGGGGACTGGAGGGGATGATTTTAAACTGGTAAATTATTGGTGGAAGACAGTAAGGTGGGAAGATGAGGTGGAGTGGACCCCATTATTGGTGAATCCCATTATCTTCATAGAGGGGTGCTGGTATACGTAAAGGAGGCTATGTTGGAAGGGGTACTAATAAAATTCCTGGGAATCGTCAAAAGATAAAAAAGTGGTAAAAATTATAAAAATTTACATTTCTAATTATAGAAATTTACATTAATATGTATTTATTTATATTCTTGAAACAAAGTCAATTCTCTCATTGTTTATGTGAATTACTTAATAGAACTAAATTTTATTCTTACCTATTTTATTTTTGATCACTTTTTGTACGTACAATTCTATTAATTGGGGTGTCTACCCAAAAATCTGAATTAGAAATTAATGGAGTGTTAATTTTAAATCAAACTGAATCTATATGTACATACTCGATGTTAGGTATTTGAGGATCTGAGACTTTTGATAGAATTAAATTTCATTCTTAATTTGATTATGAGCATCTAGCTCTAATTGTACCCGAACTAATAGTTAATTTTAAATCATTGTATATTATCAACTATTTCCTCTTTTAGAGATATTGTAGTCATGTTCAATGATTACTAACTAACATATCAATTTTTTTGTATAAATTGCTTTGAATTGTTTATAAATATTTGATAATTATTCATTTTTCCACGTATTACATGAAAATGAATTATAGATAGTCATCTTTGTCACTTCTCCAACGATAGCTTGATTCGCAAGATCACTAAAAATCAGAAAAAATGTATGTTTTTTAGGGAAACATGTTTAACATTGTTTTAATAATAATTTCTAGAGATTCATTTCCAGCATTTTACTAAATTACTGAATAAACTTTTCTATCTCATTAATAAATCTGTAGAAATATGATCGTCAATTAATTCTACTTCATCTGATGAATTATTCAGATCACCAGAAACTCAACTAAAAATTTATTTTTGCTAGTTTATAATAATTCAGGTATTGAAATGACAATTCTCGAAAATATTTGAACCAAAAAAAATTTTGAGTAATTGTATTAGTAGTGTACTCGAACTTTCTCGCTGTTGACGACAGGTATTTGAAATAGGATTAGCGAACAGTCACGTTCGAACATGTCTCCCAAAAGAGAAATGCAGGTGTGCAGGTAAAAGATGAACTAGCAAAAGGGTCGCGACAATATTTATTTCCATTCAATAAGTGCAATAAATTTTTCTGGCGTCTGAAGGATTATAAAGGTGTACGGTTTAATGCGGGTTATTACCCGTACTTTCGGTAGTACCTTCGGTAATTTTTATAACCATAATTCGTGGGTAACTAAACCAGAATCTGATGACCAGTTATTTAATGGTCACATATTTCTACTTGAAAAGTAATGAACGTAAATCCTATATACCTATTATTGAATATTATCCAGGTTGAATCATCAACTTCAATGTCTGGAAATCATCTCCAAATTTATTCCATACACTAAAGAACGATTCATCTTTATTCAATATATTAATTCATAGTTGAAATACTATATTAGCTATCAATACATGTTATTATTAATGTTTTTTTTATAATAATTCCGAAAAAGTTACTTTTATATTCATATTTGTATTGTAGTCTCGTTTTTAGTTAGTGGACTTGTGTACTTCTCACGGGTTGTGTACTTGCATGTTATTAATACTAAACAGGATTAAATTATGCTAGTCATAAATACAATAAGTGCATCAACAATTGTGGAGTAAGCCACGTATACCCTTTACATTTATGCGTGTACATTTTTTGCTAGAAGTTGATGTACAAATCATCAAATACAAGATATTGTTGCTGGTTATTTGATTGCAGTGGATTATATATTTGTGCATACCATAATATATGGATAAACAAACTTATCGAAGCAAAAAAAAAATGTTACAACAAAAACTGTCAACACGTAAATAACACTACATTTATACTATAATCTGATAGAGTTGACCATTTTTCACGCAAAGTCTGCAACTAAATCCAACAAAACTGACTCCTTCGTTTATTACTATGAGATTTCCCTGATGATAATAATCTGCTAAACTTACGTTTAAAACTTGTTAGAATTAAAGTCAACTTACCAGCATTTTTTTCACGTAATATTACTAAAAAAATGTCAACACATTTATACTACAACCTGATAGAGTTGACCATTTTTCTCGCAAAGTCTGCAACTACATT